TTGGGGTGGCCAGTGCAGTCGGGTTCTGGGACGGTGGGGCGCAGAGACGGTGCCGGTCCCTGACAACACCCACAGCCAGTGTGCAGTCCTGCGCCGTCTGGGTTATGTATGTGCACTCTAGGATTCTCACACGCGACAAAATCGCCTGAGGACGCATTTCTCAGGACACACCGCCATGGCTGGGCGACACATGGCTACACGGAAGCTTACCCTGCGGCAGGAACGGTACCGCAGCGGGGAGCACCGGGACCATTCCTTCCATCTACTGAACACCTACTGTGTGCCAGCAACTGCCAGCCGAGGAGGCCAGCAGAGCGTAAGACGGAAAGATCCACGCTCTCAGGGAGCTTCTATTCTTGGTGGGAGTCACAGTCGAAAATCAATAAACGAATGAGGAGACAACAAACTGTGACTAGTTCTAGGATGGAAATTAAATGAGCACAAAGGCAGGGAGCAGACTGCCACAAAGGCCTCCCAACAGGAAACCATCGGGCTTTGAGGGACAGAGGGAACCCCAGTGTGGCTGGGGGGAGCGGGGACTTGGGCGGGTGGAGGGGTGGGCAGGGGCCAGGCCGTGGAAGGCTCTCTAGGTCTGCTTAGGAGGGGGGTTTACTACAAGTGACACGTGGCACCATTGGAGGGCTCTGGACAGGTGGAGACAGGTTCCAATGCACATTTTTAAAAAAATTTTTTGAGAGAGATTTTTGCTATAGAGTGTATGCGCTCGCCAGAGACACAGAGACAGAAAGTGAGACACAGAGACAGAAAGTGAGACATCACCTTCTGGGGCGATGGCCACAGCACAGCCCCTTCTGCTTCATTCTCCTCTTGGGAGCTTGGGCGCGTGCGCGCGCGCGCGCGCACACACACACACAAACACACACACGTGCCCAGTGTGTTCTAAGCCATCAAGTACGGGACTAGAACTGCGGTTAACTACATGGGATTCCAGCGACATGATCATTGCGCCATCTGCTGGTCCCTAGCGCACGTTTCTGGAGGACTGGTTTGGCAGCTAGGTGGAGAGTAAGAGGGCAGCAGAGGCTCGAGAGGGAGCCAGGAGGCCAGCCGGGAGCCCACCGTGGCAGTGTGCCCATGGATAGCGGGTCCTGGGCCGGAATGGCAGCCACAGAGACAGACAGACACGGACTGGGGAAGTGTTTTCAGATGGAACGACAGGGTTTGCTGACGGACAGATGGTCGGCAGTGAGGGGTGTGGAGGACCCAGGTCCCTCCTGGGCTTCGGCTCGGGCAGCTGGGCCACTTGATGACACAGAGCAGACATGCAGATGAGGGAGCCTGTGGGGGACACGGAGAGCTTTAGGCATGGCAGTGGGGGTGCCTTGGAAGCCGACAGGCATATGTGCACTGCCTGCAGTTCTGGGGCGAGACCAGGACCCGATGCAGACACCTGAGAGTCACCGCAGACAGATGATGGTCTTTAAAAAAAACTTTTATTTCTTTTTCCATGAGAAAGAGCGAGAGAGCGAACGAGTCAGTATGCTCAACAGGGTCGTCCATGATCCACCTCCAGCCTCAGCAGGCTCTGAATGGTGGCCACGTCCATCCCGGGTGTGTCCCGGAGGAGTCCAGACACGAACCTGGGACCCTCCCGTGTGGGTCAGCCTGCAGGACTGTGTCAGCACTGTGCCGCTGTCTGGCCCAGAGGGTGGCCCTGAAACCAAAGAGTAAGAGGATGACGTCTGGAGAGGTGAACAGAGAAGACAAGAGGCCTCATGACCGACTCAACACGCCCGAGGAGACGGGACTGAGAAAGGAGGCTGGATTGTCATGTGGTGGGACCCACTGCCACGGTGGACTGTGGACATGAGGACAGCATGTGATGGGGATGCAGGGGAAGTCTAAATCAGAGTGAGAAAAACTCCATGCCGAGGCTCTGAGGGGAGTGCGAGGAATTCCACTCCCAGGGGATTTCTGCAGCTAGGGTTGTGACGCGGCACGTGGTGACTGCAAGGGCGGGCAGGGGAGCCCCAATGAGGTGGACGGTGGTACCGCGAATATCAGTGGGGAAGTCGGGAGACAGGGACGTGGCGCCAGTACCTGGCAGACACGTATCCCCACGGAGCCAGGAGCTGGCACCTGGGCAGGACCGGCCAGGGGCAATGCACAGGAGCAGGGCTGGGAGCTTGTGGAGAACACGGGAAGGCTATGGCGGGACTGGACACTCAAAGCGGGGCGGCAGGGAGAAGGGGCTGAGGAGGAGAGCGTTAGGAGAGCAGGGAGCTGTCACAGACTGAGAGAGAGACGAGTTCAAGGAAGGGGTGAGGATGGGGTCAGTGCTGCAGCCGTCGGGGCACAAGGACTACCAAGGGACCATCTGCTGTGACCGTGGTAGGTCACTGGCAACTCCCCAGAGGTGAGCACTTTAGAGCTAAAAGCACCGATTCGAATTTTAAAATCCAGAGGAGGAAGCAAACCATGTGTTAGACGCTATGGGAAACAAAGGCAGAGAACATGAAGGACAAAGAAACAAAAAACAGTATTGGAGGGAGAAAGCCACATACCCAAGAAGAGCCTTGGGGTGTGTGTGTGTGTGTTTGTGTGTGTGTGTGCGCATGTGTGCGCGTGGCGTGCGCATGGGTGCATGCAGTGTGATTCTAGTTCCCACAAGAAAACTGTGTATTTGATATGTCCAAGAATTGGTTCTGGCTAAAGCAATAAAAAATAAAAAATAAAGAGAAGCAAAGTATAAATATGTTTTAAAAAAAAACATCTATCCTCTTTTCCTTTTTTTTTTTTGTGCAAATGACATGGTTGTCTACATGAGAAATCTAAAAAAGAATCAGCTGAAAACAACAAGTCTAATATTCAGCACAGTAAGCTGTTACAAAATGTACATAAAACCAGTACTTTCCTAGGTACTATTAATAGTCATAAAATATACTTTTAAAATCCAATTCACAATTGTAACAAAAAATGTAAATTATCTAGGAATAAACTTGATAAAAAATGCAAGACTTATAGAAGACAACAGAAACATTGCTGAGGTACATAAAAAGAAAGCTTAGAGATGGAGAGAGACATGCTGTGATTTTAAATTGAGATAACCATTTTGCGAAGATGTCAATGAACCTTTAGTTTGTTAATCTCACACAATTTCAATCAAAATCCTAAAGAGAACTTCACAGAATGATTCTAGAGCTCATGATAAATGCCAAAAATAAACAAATAAAAGAAAAAAATTAGTCTAAACAATATTGAATAAAATGAAATAGGGGATGATACTGATTTTATAGGCATTGAACTATATTATAAAGCTACAATAATTAGAACAATTCGGTGTCAAGGAATAAATTGGGATGCAAGCTAGAACATCAAGAAACTCAAGTTTATATGTGACATTTAATGTATGACAGTTATTTCTAATCATTGTGGAAGGATAGGTTGTTTTATAAATTCTGTTGGGGCAGTTTTGCTCACTGTAGAATAAACTTAGGTCTATAGTTCTTTCAGACACTAGAAAACTACAATATTTAAATATAAAAATAAAAGACAATCTTTTTTTGAATTATTTAATTTTATTTATCATCACTATTGTTTTTCCCTTAAAAAATTGCTACAGGGCTCATATGCTTACCAGACAGAGACAGAGAGAGAGAGTGAGAAAGTGAGAAATCAAGCTGCCTTTTCCAGGATTTAAACTGCAGTCAGCCATATGGGAATCCAGTACCATAAACACCATGCCACCTGCTGGCCCCCAAAGAAAATCTTAAAAAACTGGTCTAAGGGACCAGCAGATGGAGTAATGGTTATGTCACTGGACTCCCACATTGCTGACTATGGTCAAGTCCCAGACCTGGTGGCTTAAAACATTTGGAGCATGTGTGAATGTACGCCCAATATCCTGAGAGGAGAATGGAGGAGAAGGGATTGCGGCATGGCCATCCCCCCTGGGGGGTGATTTCTCACTTTCTGTCTGTCTGTCTCTGTCTTTCTGGCGAGTGCACGTGCCCTATAGCAAGAATCTCTCTTAAGGGAAAAAAAAAACTTGTTTAATAGCATAATATTAAACTCATACCATTAAATACCCTGTTAGATCTTTATATACGAAGATGGAAAGACATCTACAATATCTTATACATGAAAT